CTTCCCATCTGCTCTCTTTCCTCGGTGGTATTCTGTGGAAAAGGTTATCACACTGAGCCAGCCTGCCCAGAAGAACATGAAAACTGTGAAAAAGTGTGGCTTTAGGTGAAGAAAAAAAGCATTTGTTACCAATTTAAATTTTTCATTTACTCTTCTGAATACTTTTAATTTTTTCAGTGCTGGGGAGTGAACCCAGGGCCTCTTGCATGCTAGGCAAGCACACTACTACTTGAGCTCCCCTGGCCCCCAGCCCTTTTGCTTTTGTTTTGTTTCATTTTGTTTCTTGGTGGTGGAACTGGGGTTTGAACTCAGGGCCTCATGCTTGCTAGGCAGGTGCTCTACCACTTAAGTCGCTCTGCCAGTCTATTTTGTTCTTTAGCTAGGGTTACTATCTTTGCTCAGGCTGGCCTCAAACTCTTCTTGCTCCTTCTACCTCTACCTCCTGATTACAGGCATGTGCCAGTACCACACCTGACTCATCTCATGAATCTTTATGGCGACTCTGTGAGTATCTCTCCATTCCTTAATAGTTTTTCTATATTAGGATTGAGTTTAATTCCTTATCTCCATTTTATAAGTGAAGATTTGAACTCTCGAGAGATTAGCTACTTCAGTTTGAGCTCCATGTTTTGTTGGTGAGCCAAGTTTGGAACCCAAATCAGTTTGAATCTTTTTATTTCTTTAAAGCTTTTGAGATAGGGTCTCACTATGTAACCCTGGCTTGTCTTGAACTTGCTATGTAGCTCAGGCTGGCCTTGAATTCACAATCCTCCTGCCTCAACTTCCTGAGCGTTGGGATTATAGTACGCTCTATCATGCCCAGCCCCAATTTGAATCTTAATACCACACACACACACACACACACACACACACACAACACACACACAACACACACACACATATACACACAACACACACACAACACACACACAACACACACACACGCACAACACACAACACACATGCACAACACACATGCACACACAATACACACAACACACAACACACATGCACACACACAACACGCATGCACACACAACACGCACACACACCACACACATGCACACACACACACCACACACACAACACACAACACACGCATACACACACACAACACACACACGCACACACTTTTTCATTGTCATTGACTGAACTGAGGGACAGTGGATTTCCACACTAAAATGATGTGTGGGAAGATGAAGGCATCAGTTCTGCAGGTACAGATATTCTGCACATAATCTATTTGTTGAAATTTTTTTTGAGACAGGATCTTGCTATGTAGCCCAAGTTGGCCTCAAACTTGCAATCCTGCTTCAGCCTCCCCAAGGCTGGGATTATAGGGCTGTTCCACCATGTGCAGCCTGATTAGATCTTAATGTATTAATAAGCAGGTTTGCTGTACATTCAAAGTCAAAGTAGATTGAGTGGTAGTTAATCAGTTCCACACATTTTTCAGATATTCCTACTAAAATGGCCGATCCACTCAGAACCACTAGCTACAAGGACTGTTTCCAGGATGAGGTGGATTTTGAGCTGAGGAATGCAATGCCAGAATGGTTATTTTGGTATCCAGTATGGGGAGCTTTTCTCGGCCAACCCCAGTCTTGTGACTGGAAACTCTGCCCATCGAGGACTTCATCTTACAATTGGTTGTAAAATTAAGACCTGACTAGCTCTGTGGATTATGTATTTGGTGGTTTTGGGACTATCTGCTGGGCCACGTCCAGAGGACGTGCTGTGAGCTCTACTTGAGCAAATTGCAAGAGCCTGGACACAGACTTTTCCATTTGCAGTAAATGAATCAAACAGTGTCTGCTTCCTGAGTGGATGGGTAAGTTAATGTTTCCTAGTGTTGCATTTCTGAACAACCAAGGACTTTTGAGTTTTAGTCCTGGAAGTAACTCAAGAGAGGTTGTCTGCAAGACTCTGCTGCTTATCTTCTGAGTCTGTCCACCTCAGTGAACAGTTAGGTCAGCTAGCAGAGAGGCTTCCTTTATAGTGAGTTGGAGTCTTTAGAACCTCCATAGGATGGGTCTTCCCCTTCTCCAAGGGCAGACAATTCTTCAGAGGTCAGTGTCTGAGGACATTAAGCTTGGCAGTTAAGATTCAGAAGGAGCTAGCCAGGTGGCAGAGGCTGGGAAGGATCAACCTGGGCAAAGTTAGCAAGACCCTATCTCAAAAACAAAAACCGTGGGGGGAGAGGGGGAGTAATGACCCAAACATTGTATCCACATATGAATAAAAAAAAACCAACCAAAAAAAGAACTGGAGGCATGGCTTAAGTAGTAGAGGCTGTGTTCAATCTGCAGTACTGATACCATGCCTCCTCCGAAGAGAAAAAACAAGGAAAGATTCATAAGGATATTACCAGCTTTGGGCCATGGGCTAAGGTGAAAAATAATGAAATTTAATGGAATAAATGTAAACTCCTGCTTTCAGTTCTGAAACCAGTTTCGTAAGAGACAGGATTTGGGGTTAGCCCCTGAGAGAGGGGATCTTGGAGGTTTTAGGGATCATAAGTCCAACCCAGGGTGCTATTTGTTGAGGATCACAGACACACACTGGGCAGAGTCATGATGGTGTCTAGTCTGAAAGCCCATCAGGAGCCTGAGGGTCATTCCTGTGATGCGTACATGGGTGTTTTGCGGGAGAGCCTTGGGGATGGATGGGTAGAAGTTAAGTTAGGAAATGAGCATTAGCCTAATGGGTGGAATTCAACATGCAGTACTGAGGAGGTGGTGGGGTTTCATTGGTGAGGTTCAGGTGTAGGCTGTGTGACCAGCTGTTGAGACATTGTAGAGGGGACTTCAGACATTGGAGGAGGGTTTTGGTATGTTTTGATCTGGAGACTGTCTTTCAGTTGTATGGTAATGTTCTTTGAAGGCAAAGGTCCTTCAAAGAACCCTTCAGCTTGCCCTCACTATCCCAATTTCATTCCTCAGCTGTGCTGGTTGAGTACTAGCACATCTACTGCATATCTTACAGCATGGTTCCCTAGGGTTAATTCATTCTGCTGTGAGCTGCCCAGAGCTCAAGGCCTGACCCATTGTTCTGTGTGTATGTGTGTGTTGTGTTTATTTCTCGTTTTACTTGAAAGGAGGGTAAGAAGGGAGAAGTTGGGCTAGCCATTGCCAAAGAGTTTCCTCTCCTCATTTCTTTAAGAAGTGTCTGTGGTGCTCAAACAGATTCTAGGGTGATGTGCAGTTCAGCTTGATTTTTATAGGACTCTTAGATCCCAAAATGTAATAGTTTGAGAATTCAAAAGGCCCACACTGCAGGCATTGCAGAGTTCATCTGGGGGTCAATCACAAAACCCTTTCTTGTGGCATAATTTATACTTTAACATTTGGCAGTTTTTGCAGTCCTGTGTAGACAGACGTACGTGTGCTGATAAGGGGTGGTAAATACTTTGCTGACAAGGTCTTTGATGGCTTAGTGGGAGCATTGAAAGACAATCTTTATTTCTGTTATTTATTTGTTACTGTTATTTATACTATTTATTTGTTTACTATTATTGCTAACATTTTAAAATGTTGCCAAATCAAAAAACCTGTCAAGGTGAGAAGCCAAAGGCACCCATTAGTTAGACCATTAATTTTGCAGTATTCGCGTGCCTCACCTGGGATCTGTTGCAATCCACAGGTTGGGGAATTCAGGGGAAGGGGATGTGGTTGAAAGAGGGAAGGAGAGCAGACAGGCTGCTTGCTGTCAGCTGAAGGCCCTGGAATGTGGACTAGTCCACCAGAACCTGCTTTCCTCCTGTTGCCTCTGTTAGAATATTGCAGGAACTTGAGGGGGTGGGAAGGGGAGGAACAGCTGTAACCCCGGGAATCCTTCCTACTCAGGCCCTGTGCTCCCCATTTCCATCAATCCCCAGGGGCAGTTCTTCTCCCTCTTTTTAGAGGATTTGAATTAATAATCTGATGTCTTTTCTACAAAGGAGTATTGATATGTTAGTGTGCAGACAGCAGGGAGTACTGGATTAGACAATTTTCACATTGGTGTTATGCCAGTGTGACATTTGTTTCGAAAGCTTGTCCTTTTGTGACTATAGGTTACATGTGTAATGTAAGGAGAATATATTTTTGAGGAAGATTTCTTTCTGTTCTGAAATCTTTAGTGCTACAGAAAAATACTCCTTCACAGTTTTTCATGTGATCAGGAGTGGAGAGCCGGCTAGGTGACAAAGTGCCTCATGTAGATGGAGAACATTTCCTCAAGTGTGCCAGGCACTGGTGGTAGGTATTGTAGAAAGGACCACAACCGGGACAACGTGGTTCTTCCTTCAAGGTTGCAGTTTAGGAGAGTGGCCAAGTGACCTGACAACATCGGGTGAAGAGCCTCAAAGATCAATGCAGGAGATAGGTCCTGGTTTGCTGGCACTGCTGACTAAGTAGGATGAGTAATTGTGATAACAAAGTGTATCTTTTCCCTCCTTCCTCATTCCTGCCACAATCTCCCCCACCCCCTTTTTCACTTTTTGGTGGTATTGGGATTTGAGGTCAGGACCTTGCTTGCTACGCAAGTGCTCTACCATTTGAGCCATGCCTCCATCCCCTGCCACTCTTGTGTCTTGGGGATCTCATATTGGGACAGTTTGACATTTCACTTAAGATGCCAGTTGCTACAGTGAGGCCGACATCTTTCATTTTGCTTTATTTTCTGCTATGGAGATTTGACTGTCATTGAGCAAAGCGCCTCCAGTAGAGAGTAGGCACTGGTGTGTGGTTGTTGGATGAATCCCCACAAGCTTGCAACTCTGAGTGAGTACTGTTCTTGGGAAAATTTCCTCTCACTGGTGAAGACTGCTGTTGCATTTCTGTAGGAGTGCTTAATATGGTACTTAGAGATCAAAAGCCACATGGATCTCAGAATTCCATATTCTCAGCCAGGAGTTATTCTCTTAATGAAGCTATGACTGAAGAATTTGCAGTAGAGCTAGTAAGAAAGTATGTTTGTGGTTACCCTGTTCTTATACTATTTTGTGATTTCTCTTTTAGGTTTATTTTCTTGAAAAGGCTCCAGGCTTTGGCTTGGAAAATCCAACCGCCAAAATTGAGCCCAGCAGTTGGAGCGGCAGCGAGAGCCCTGCCGAAAACATGGAAAGGATGAGTGACTCTGCAGATAAGCCGATTGACAATGATGCAGAAGGGGTCTGGAGCCCCGACATTGAGCAGAGCTTTCAGGAGGCGCTGGCTATCTACCCGCCATGTGGGAGGAGGAAAATCATCTTATCAGACGAAGGCAAAATGTATGGTAAGTGGCCTGGAATGTTCCTTTGAAATACTACAACCTGCTGTGGTGGCAGGGGATGGATTTAATTGGCTTTGTAGTGATATCCATTTATTGTGCTGTGTTGGATTGGATGATCTTGGTGGAATTATACTTGTTCTTCCAAGGAACCAAATGTGAACTAAAGAGTAGCGTCAATAAAGGACCACCAGGAAATCATTCCCTGAGATTTTCTTCGACGTGGCCAGTAGTGTTCCAGCAACTCTCGGGGCCCAGGTGGGGTACAGTGGTCTCAGTGTATGTGCAGGCAGCACATAGTGGGGATGAGTCCTTCAGCACTTACATTCTGAATAAAGGCAGCACTGCCACTTGGCTCCAGGTAATTGGTGCCATGGAGGAGTGGGGCCTGCTGCTGCCAAACCTTGATCCCTCCCACCCCCAGGAAGAGCTCCCAGTCTAGATATTTATATGAAATTCTAGTCTTTTAAAAACACTTAGCACATTTTCTTTTTAGGGGCAATACTGGGAGTTTGTCAGGGTGTTGTGCTTGCTTGACAGGTTCTCTACCACTTGAGCTGCTCTGGTAGCCTCACATTTTTTTTTTCTTTTTAATTTAAACGATCCTGTACAAGACAAATAAAACACGTGTATCTTCATCAGCATCCTGAATGGCGTCTGCAGCTTTGCTTCCAGTTTGTGATTGAATAACCATTAGAGGCATTACCCTTTCCAACAGGATATTCTCTCCAGCCTCCTCTCCTGTAGGCAGGTGCCTTGCCGTGTGTTTGAAGGAAGCTCCGAAAGTACGAGGAGGGTGAGGCCAGTTCACCAGATGGCCTAGGATGCCAAAGGCAGCAGCAGCAAGTGTCCATCCACTGGTCTGACTAGTCTGAGGCTGGCTCGCTGGGTTGGGGCATTCCCTCTTCCTTCTATAAATGCTTCCACCTGCAGACCAACTCTTTTTGGCTGTTTACCTTTTGGGAAACAGATGGCAGGTGGTTGCTTGTACATACTGCTTGTCTAATTGGGCACATTGAGTTGACAAGAGTTTGCACTGCAGCGGAGTCTGAAGAGATGGAAACAAATAACCTAAACTCAGAGAACTGGCTCAGCAACTACCTGAGGTTGCTAACTTATCGTGGGACTGATTTACTTCTAAGTAGTTCCAACTCTTTTCCATAATAGGGTGTTGTACCTTTAATCCTGTGCTTCTCCATCAGGGAACCGTAGGAGTCTGCAGCTCAAACTAGCACAGGCTGCTGAGGAGAAAGCAGATGGTGGTGCAGCTGCCACCAGCTGTGCCCCCGCCTGCCTCCCCCTCCAACTTGGATGATGTAATGGAAACAAGGACAGTTTTGCTTTCTGTAGCCTTGGAGCCTCTCAGCCTGTCATACATAGGAGAGAGGGAAAACCCAATCCTCATGCATTTGTTTTAGGCCCTTGTAAAATATTTTGTAGCCAGAGAAGCTTCTTTGTATCTAGTGAAATGGAGTCAAGATGAAACACCTCAGCTGCTGTGGGTAGACAGTTTCAGGGCCTCCTGGTGTTCTGTGCTCCTTTCTCCTCTTTGGACTCTGCTTCGTCTGCCTGCCTGTTTGGCTTTGGGACATTACCTTGTACAACTCCCACTTGTTTACCCAGAAATTGTTTTAATCTAAAATAGTGTCATAAGATTGGAAATCCTGGTTGGGAATAACTTCTGTACTCACCAAGATCACCAGGAATGGCACTGCCCCTTGTGGAATGAGGTTTCAGCACTGGAAACAGAATTCAGAGCAAAAGTTAATTTCTGTGAACTCCAGTTTTGTTTTGTTCTCCATTAAGATTTTTCCTTTTAGATAGCTGTGGTAGGTTTAACCAATTTGCCTGAAATGCAATCTTAAAATATTTTTATGTGAAAATAATTGTATGAGAGTTCTTGTTGGGAATTAGGTCTTAGAGGCAGCAGGCTAGGAAATTGAATGGTGAAAAACTTTGGGTTTGAGTTTTCTATCAACAATGAACTTAAACAGTTTTACCCTTGGTCTCGGTCTCAGTGTTTCCCTCCATAAAAAAGATTGTAAAGTAGATGATATCTGTGGATTCTTAGGATTTTTCCTCATTTGATGCTGTGATTGCAGTATTTGTAACTCAGCAAGATAATCAATTATTGGCAGATATGGTGCTGGTTGTGGGAACATGTCTTTAGCACCCGGAATAACTCGGATTCTGAGTGCTTCCTGAGTATACAGTTCTTGGGGTATGGATCCTTTTTCCTCAAGTCAGCACTACATTTGCTGTCTGTATTGATGGCTAGCCTGATTTAGAAATGAGAAAATCCTTTTGAACAGGCACCTTTAGGAATTGTAACTCACCTGGAAAGAATAGTCTTAACTGGTTTTGGGTTTTCAGCAGCCTGAAAGATTTTGTTTCTTGATTAGAGTGCAAGAGATAGGTTTGTTGTGCTGGCCTTGTAGATAGATGCCCCTAGCTCCCTGGAGAGAAAACATTCCCACTCAACTCCCTCCGTTTGGTCAACTTGGTAGAGCTTCTGTTGCTACCTTGAAGGAAAACATGGTAGTCAGCTGGGTTCTGGGAGGTAGAGACTGGCCCCCTTCAGAAGAATTGCCTTATGTATCTGGAAGTTGCCTCTACCCTGCCTTGGGCTCTGAGGATGGGAGAAAGTTGATCTGAGGGCCTCCACAGTGAGGCTCCAGCTACTTGGGGGGTGGTGTCATGTGAGCAGCATGGGGCCAAAGCTACTGTTCCTTGGCTTCTGGCCTGTTCCCCATCTTTCATACATGAATCAGGACACAAACCAGACCAGGACTCAGCAGTTCTTAAGATCTTAAGCGCATACTTTTTCCTCTAAGGGTTTTGAAAATGAAAATATTACAAGCATTTGGGATTCCATGCAGAAAAATAAAAATAATTTAATGTCCAAGTGAAATATCAAGTGTTTTTTCCTTGAAGGGGTTATTCTGATATTTCTGAGCATTTGTAGAGTGCTTTGTGATGTCACTAATCCTGAGCCATTGGAGAAGCAAGGTCAAGTGATTTATTTTGGTAATGAAATTTCCTTCGTGGTTGGCAGTAGAGCAAATGCAATCTCGAAAAAAATGGAAAGCTCTCTTTATGATGAGGTTTTGTCCATTGGAGGAGATGGCTTAATTCTCTCTTTCTGTTATGTTGGTCTTCAGGGCAGCTGAGACTTTATGCAGCTGATCTCTTTGTGGATAGGTTCCTTCTTCCTTGGCTCCCCACTGTGTAACAGTGTTCTTGCGACTGTTAGGAGTGTTTGATTTTGTCCCTAACAGCACGTATGCTTGTGTTCCTGTGCTTTCTCTCTTTCTCCTTCTTCTTGTCATCTCCTTTCATTTCTTATCTTATTTTTACATAGCTGGGTGTTTCTTTTTCTAGTAGACAGTGGGGGAGGAGATGGCAGGAGGACAAGATGAGAGGGAAGTTCTTAGTCAACAAACTTCTCTGAAATTGGATTTCAGGGAGTAGGCCATAGTTGAAAACAAGACAAAACAAAGCAGTGGATCATGGGAATACCTGTATCTGCTTCTTTTGTAGCTGAAGACTCCAGTTTTGCAAAGTGGTCAGATGTCCCCCTAAATCAAACTAAGGTTGGGATAGAAACATGTTCTCACTGATTGTTGGCCCTAGGGACAAATGTAGGACTTTACAGTTTGGACTTTGTAATTTATATGAATCCTGGCCCTGCACTCCTTGACCTCAGGCTTTGGGCAAGCTGTCTTTCCCCTCTGTGTCTCAATTTCCTCAGCTGTAAAGGAGGGTTAAATAAATTCTACTTCATAGTATTGTTAGAATAAGTAAATGAAGTAATTGTGATCTGGGAGTCCCGTCGTGTGTGAGCAGCATCTGTATACACTGAGACCTACATAAGTATTTATGAACTGAAAATAAAGATGCGCTCTCTGCCTTCTATTGTTCTAAAGGCTTTACGTGCAATTTCCAGTTATGCTCTTGACAGTGCTCTGCAGTTAGTATTATGATCCCCATTTACAGATGAAGAGGCTGAGGGGTAAGATGGCTTGCACTTGGCCAGTGTAGATGTAGTAGCTAGAAAGTTTCAAATCTAGGTCTGTTTGACTATAACACCTTGGGCTCTTTCCACTGTGCATTTTTGTTCCTTCGTGATAGAGATCATTGCACATTAATCCAGCAAATCAGTATTGAACACCAGCTGTATTGCAGCTCCATACATGGGGTTGTCAGGGAGACAGCAATGAACTAGACATAGTCCCTGCCCTCATGGAGCTGTCACAGGTTCATTTGCAAGGAACTGACCTGAGGTCAGGGCTGGGTGCCAAAGATTTCTTGGAAGCCTGAGGTCTCTTTGAAGATGGTCACCTTCCACTTAGCCTTTTGAAGCCTGTTCTTGGCTACCAAAGTCCAGGACACCTGGCCTAATGCTGGCAGGAAGAAAGCATCTTAAATAACACAGCAGGGAGGGTCCAGATCACAAGGCTGGCCCTGATGGTGGCCAGGAAGATGTCTGGAAGGTTCTAGTGCCCTAGGACCCTACAAGCAGTCTGGGTAGAACAGTTGCTAGGCAGTGACTTCTCCCTTTTTGAGTAGATGCCGTTGCGGAGGGCGGTCCTTACTTAAGACAGCTATGGGGAGGAATCCTTTCTTACTGTGTTGCCAGGCTTACTGGTCAGTCCTTTAGAGCTGGATTGTGAGGACAGATAAGGTGAGGAGGGAGGTGTCTCTGGGCCGGCCCTCCCCAGTTACTGACCTGTGCCCTGCCATCCTGGAGCAGGCCTTCAGCTTGCCCCTTCAGTTGCCTCATAGCAACACAAGAACTGGAGTAGAACTGACCAAGGGGCAGCAGAATGAGAGTGCACACAGCAAACACAAGTGTGTGTCGTTTAGCTAGTGCAGCCAGAGAGCCTGATGTTGCTGGTCCCTAGGATCCTCCTGACCCTGTGAGGTGGTGCAGTACTGGCCTTCCAGAAGAGAGGCACTCACTCTCACAACACCTCTTTGAGGATTAGAAGGGTGGTTGTGTCTTT